AAAGTTCTCATGGAAGAAAATCGAGCCTTCCGAGAAGCCGCGCTTGCCGCCAAATCCGCTTCTGAATCCAAGCACTCGGACGAAGAAGTGGAATCGGATGTGGACGCGTTCTCGAGCTCGATCGAAACCATGGAAACGATTTCCGAATCTGAATCCATGATTGAAGTAGACGATGGTTTCACGACCGTTCCCAGCCGCCACAAGCGCAAGGGACGGTCCTCGGAAGACTCGGATCACACTAAAAACTTTGTTTGTTCTAGCAAGAAGCCAAGAAAAAGACGCAAGGGAGCCAAAACCAGCCAAGCCGCCCTATCCGACGACGACGCCAGACACGTGCTGACCCAGCGCCGCCAAGCCACCACGCCCCAACCCATTGCCATGCCCGGACCATCCAACTATAAGAAACCAACAGCGAAGCCAGCTGTATTACCAGCAGCGAAGAAAGGAGCTACCAAACCTCTCGGCAAATACACAGTGCCGAGGGGACGCCGCGGTCGGGCCAACATCGCCAGAGTAGTCCTGGCCACAGATACAACAACAACAACAACAACAACTGATGATGAAACACAGCAGCCCGACTCAAAGAAACTGCCCCCAGTCATACTCAGGGACAAAGCCAAGTATGACCAGGTTGCTAAATACGCAAAGGACGCCAAGATAAACATATCGAAGGCCTCAGCCACTGACGAGGGAGTACGCATACTCCCTACCACCTCTACGGATTATCGCAAACTGGTGAGTCATTTAGAACATACTAAAGTGCCATATCATCACATCACAACTCCCCGAAAACAAACTGCTCCATGTTGTTTTCAAGGGAGTATTGGAATCTACGTCTACGGATACCATAAAATCCGAGCTAGGAAACCTGGGCTACCACTCGGTCGCCGTCACCAGGTGGTACTGGAAGACGGGGGCAAAAAAGGGGCGCCCCATGCGTTGCGTCCTAGTGCTCCTACCAAGAACCGAGAAGGACATTTACGACAATATTGTGACCCTAAACGGAATAACAATCCGTTTAGAAGCACAAAAAACAAAGGACCAATCAGGGCAGTGCCATAACTGCCAATTATGCGGACACGCATCTTTTAACTGCAAGGCTGACTCCAAATGCGTTAAGTGCGCCGGTGACCACAAAACCGAGGACTGCACTAAAACGCGAGAAGAAGCCCCCAAGTGTGCCAAACACAAGCGACCAGCCCAGAGGAGACCCTTTTCCTGGGCCGAAAGAGCCAGAGCAGCCCCGACCGCGGGCCCCAGGCCGGCACGAACCACAGAGCCGGCGCAGGCTCCAGTCCCGCGGCGGCACCAGTCAGCGACAGCTTGCCCGAGACGCTCCGTCAAATTTCTAGTGCGATAGAAACAATGAACAGGAGCTACCAGGAACAACTCACGCAGTTGACGAGCGCGCTGGCGCCCCTCGTCAAACAACTGCTGTCAGGAACAACAAACAAAGCAGCCCGCAATGATTATTGAAACCATCCCGCAATTCCTGCGCGTAGTGTCTTGGATCGGTAACTGCACTCACAACAAGAAGCCAGAACTCCTACACTTCCTTGAGGATCACGACATTGACATTTTTCGGCTCCAGGAAACCTTCCTGAAGCACCGACACACGTTGAGTCGACCGCAATCCAGATCAAAATGCACCCAGAGAAAAAAGTCAACATCTTCTCGGTGTACATCAAACCAAAAGAGATCCTCGACGAAGCGGACGTAGGAGTCCTATTTCCAGATGACACAGCAGTCATCGCAGGAGGTGACTTCAACGCGAAGCACTTCCTATGGGGTAACCTGACCACCAACTTCAAAGGCAGAACCATTGACAACGCCGCGGCAAGATACCTGTACAATATCTTGCCGCCAGACGGCCCTACCTTCGTAGGGGACCGTGTTATCCAGCCTGACTTCCTGGACATCTTCCTGACCAGAGGAGTCCATCAACAACAAACACTGACTGTGAACCACGACCTGTCCACATCAGACCACTTGCCATTCATCCTGGAAGTTGGAAATCCAGCCACCAGATTTAGGGACAAAACCATCACAAACTGGATAGCCTTCACACAGAAGTTGGTTGCGTCAGAACCACAGGCCCCCATCGACAATCTAGCTTCTCTCGACCAAGCGGCTTTGAAGCTCACAAATGACATTCAGGTAGCGCTCGATGGAGCGTCAATTACTAAAAGCTACCCGGCAGACAGATACCTCAGCATCCCCAGGGAACTCCGCGACAGGAACCGCGTCAAAAACCGCATCCTTCGCAGGTACACCACAACTGGGGATCCAGCCATGAAGAGAGAAGCAAGTCGATTGACATTAGAAATCCGTCAAGCCATTCACGACATCTACAATGAGAACTGGCAGAACAGGCTAGAACATTTATCCATAGAAGACTGATCTATCTGGAAGCTGGCCAGATCCTTAACCAAAGGCCCAAGGAAACCTCTTCCGCCCATTGTCCACAACAACGTGACAATAACGGATCCCTCGGCAAAGCTCGACACCTTCCAAGAACAATTCTCGCCACACAGAGACCTGCCAGTTCCAAACCAAAATGAACTCAACCACATCAGCAGGACCACCACACGCTTTTTGCAAACACAACCTCCTCCAAACGCTGACATACCACCCGTCACCAGTTCGGAGATCAGAGACCTGACATCCAGAGCCAATCCAAGAAAAGCTCCAGGACCGGACAGGATCAACAACATGATCCTGCGACGTCTTCCTGACACACAAATCCTGGAGCTCACAAACATCGTGAATGGCACTTAAGAACGCAGCACTTCCCCACATCCTGGAAGAACGCTGACGTCATACTGATCGCCTAAGCCGATAGCCTTGGACCAACCAAGCAACTACAGGTCAATCAGCCTGCTACCTCACCTCAGCAAGATAGCAGAGCGCATAGTCCTCAGAAGGCTCAACAACCATCTCGAGGACAGAAACAAACGTACTTCCTGAACAACAGTACGGTTTCAGAGCCAGTCGATCAGCAATACATCAAACAACCCGCCTAGCCAGGTTCATTCTAGACGGGTTCAACAAGAGGAAGGCAGCAGGAGCACTCTTCTTTGATATATCCAAAGCCTTTGACAAGGTGTGGCACCTTGGACTCATTTACAAGCTGCTACAGATACAAAAGCCAGACTACCTCACCCGCATCATCCACTCGTTCATCACCAACCGAACGTTGCAGGTGAGCGTAAACGACAGCCACTTCAGAACAGTACCGATGACCGCAGGAGACCCACAAGGCTCCGTGCTTGCTCCGACGCTGTTCAACATATACACACACGACATTCCACTTCCGGCTGGACCAGAAATCCAGCTAGCCCAGTTTGCCGACGACACCGCCATCGTCGTCAAGAGCAGACAATCCAGACTGATCACCCTCAAACTTCAGAGATACACCAACACTCTGGAAACCTGGATGCAGAAGTGGAAAATGAAACTGAATCCGAACAAGACTCAAGCTGTTCTGTTCAGACGTACACGTGCCAGACCTCATGGACACGTGAGATTATCAGGACACGACATCCCCTGGAAAAGTAACGCCAAATACCTTGGCCTTCACTTTGACTAGAGCCTCACCTGGAGACAACACATCATGATCACCAGAGCCAAGACAGAATCAACACTTCGAAAGCTCTTCCCTCTCATATCCGGGAGGAGGAGCAAGCTCCTGACATACAAATCCATGCTCAGGCCAATCCTCACCTATGAATCCCCGACATGGTCAACCACGGCACCCACTTACTTGAAAAGACTGACTGCCCGCCAAAACAAATTTCTCCGTATCATCGCGGACGCTCCATGGTACATGCGAAACACGACTTCATCGAGACTACGAACTAGAGACGCTACCTGAACACATCAAGAAGCTGAACACCAACTACTTCTTGATTGCCAGAGCTCACACCAGCCAGACCATCCGGGACTCCCACCGGGCCCTCCTTCAACACGAGAGAGGCCACTACAGAGTTCCGAATGATGATTACCCACCATAACAGGCCTACTGCTGCGTGCATCATCAGCCCTGGATTGAGCAGGGGTTGAGGATCATACGCAGCGGAAAGCCGCCCAGGACTTCTCAATCCTGAGAAGTCAAACAGGACGCCTACTGCCAAAGAGACAGCCTTCCAGCCTGGGAAGCCTATCGGAGGCAGGAAGCCATTCTATAAGCCTACTGCTGCATGCCCCTCCCAGGAGGGACGCAAGCGGCAGGAAGCTAGCCAAACATAGGACGCTAAATGCCGGAGACAGCTTCCCCAGCCTGGGGAGGTAGTCCGACGCAGGAAGCCAGCCTCTCAAGCCTACTGCAGCGTGCCCCTCCGACTGAGGGACGCACGCAGCAGGAAGCTAGTCAGACACAGGAAGCCAAATGCCGGAGACAGCTTCCTCCGCCAGAGGAGGTAGTCCGACGCAGGAAGCCCTCACCTAACTCTGCCGAAGCAGGAGCCATCCAGGACCAGGAACCCCTCGACGAGGACCAGGACCACGAACATTTAATTTTAAGTTTAGGTTTAAGAAAGTCTCTTCAAGACAACTTGGCCGTTTCATTTTACTTACTTTTATTAAAAATATCTTAAGGTGCACACCATGTTAGTTTAGCTTTTAAGTTTATCTTTTAAGAATATGATTGTCATCACCATTATACATAAAAATTTCTTTGTAAAAATTATTGTAATAAACATGAGTTCTAAAGTACCTAACTTGTAACTTTTGAAAATGAACTTTTTAAAAACAGACTTTTTTCATAAACAACAATAATAGTGAAACAAGGTAGGTATGTTGTTTTTTATGTTTTTTTCCCATGTACATATTTATTTGTATTTGCATTTCGGGTATTTTTTATGTTTTTTGATTATGTATTTGTATTATGAACTTTAAATGAATGTAAAACCTGTCTTGTTTCAAATAAAAGTCATTATTTATTTAAATAATAAATCAACCAATATTATCAAAAAAGGATTTATTCTGTTTATTTTCATGTACGATTTGGTAAGCATTTAAATGGATTACTTAAATTAACACATTTATTAACATAGGTAACAAAATTTAAGTACCTATAGGTAGAATAAGTAACAATAAAACATTTTCAAGGAATGAGATAAAAAATAGTTATAGAGATGAACAATAAAGGAATTAAAAAGAATATGGTGTTTGCCAAAAAATACACTGACAATCCTATTAGAAGGGTCACAAACGTGTAGTGGATTATGTCCAACCTAAAAAAAAAGTCATGCATACATAAATAAATGGGGTTTGCTCCAAAGACTATTCCGAACCCGCCCAAATAAAATATTTGGAAGACAGTTTGAAATTCCGTTTCCAAGTATTTCCAGAAAAGTTTTTGAAATCTTGTTGGAACAAAAGCATTGTATTTATACTCACTTTAACTTTAGCATTCTTCCTTCATCTAAAGTATCCAAAAAGTCCTTGGTTAGAATCTCTCTCCCTGTTACCAAATACGTGTCAAAATAGTCTTGCCAATCCAATATCTTAATATCGAATGGAAAGTTAGCCTTATCCCTATCATTAAGGTCATCCCATAAGCTTTGCGAATTTTTATCAACAAACTTCCATTCGTTCAACGTGAAGTGAACCAAACTGTTGATGAATTTGTCGATTTTTCCAAAGGCTTTGCGAAGCCTAAAATTTACAAGTTATTAATGCAGGTTTTATTTGTCCTGGAATCAGAGGTTTATTAGGCAAGGTACTTTAGTAGCATCCTGTCGATCGGAGTGAAACACTTAAAATATGTATAATTTTGTCTATTGGTATTTACCTTCATGCAAGGATATGCAGATAAAGTAAGGAAACTTTCAATAAAGTTTTTGAAAATCTCAAGAAGTGATGTCAATATTCAAATTCAAATACAAGCGATATTAGGCCTTGAAGATTTTTCTAATTTATCAAATCTTATTTATAATATTCACAAGGAAGTCTGCGAAATTGAGAATACATGCGTTATATTTAAGGAATTTGGAAGACGTTCAAGAAGTATGAAGAAGTACGGAAAATATTTATCAACTAATGGAGAAAAAACTAACCCTATATCTTTATTTTATTGATACGAGGAACTAAGCCAATAACAAACATGAGTATCAACGATGATCAAATATTCATATTATAAGTGATCCAATTCAAATAACGCACAATGCTTACCCACAAAAAAATAAAGTTTAAAATTATAATCAATTTAAATTACAAGATTACTGTCTAGTAGTATTTTATAGATAACTACTCAAGTAGGTACTGTCCGGTTCTGTTTACAAACTACAATACATACAAAGGCTTCTTCCCCAGTCGCTCCAGTACAAAATCCACTGTAACGGCGGGTATGGTATGGAGTAGGAAGCTAACAATATAGTACCAGTACCAGCAACTGGTAAACTTAAAGTAGCCTTTTTTCAGAAGCAGTTTGGAGCCTACTTTTTCACCTTGCTTCCTGGCCATACACACGTCCTTCCAATGTAGAGGATTGGAGTTTGAAGAAGTACAATTATAAATAGGAATTTGACCAAGCTTTCTAAAAGAAAATACTAGATATTGATAAACATTACAATACAAATTATCACCGTTCCCTTGCAGTTTTATACGAAGCGGCTATACAATTATTTATAACAAAATCAGCCGGTACAAAATCGACGAGACCATTAGGATTTCCAGGCATTATATGTAATAGACCTAGTGCAGCACCTTCAATTAGGCCTACAGGTCCGTAAATATTATCTACCCATGATCTTATTGGTTCCTTGGCTGAAGCAATGACTATTGAAGGTCTTTGAATGCATGCAGGTAATTCCGCGGCTTCTCTTTTTACTAGATCTTCCGCTATTTGTTTAGTGAAAGCGTAGGTGTTTGGAATTGACTGTAATAATCTGTTTTAAAATTATTTTTAAACCTATTCAGAAAAATGGGCATTAAGGCTTTACCCTGGTGTGATTTTCTCCAAAATGTCATCCGGTAACTCTTTTGTTAACAGCATTAGCTTGTAAGGATCTATATGTGGCGCATAAAATTCTTCTTTGATAAGCTTTTCCTGGCAATTTGAGTACGCTGTGCTCACATGAACAAAAACGTCAAGTTTCTTGCATTCTTTGGCCAATTGGATCATATGCTGGGAGCCTTCGATATTGATTTTGACGGCTCTTTTGAGGGGTTCATCAAAACGAACTGTGGCTGCTACGTGGTAAATGATGTTGACCTAAAAAACAAAGCTATGCATTTTCAAGTAGATATCATTATTTCAAAGTGTTCAATGATGAGGCAAGTTTATAACAACATTGGTCCCTCTTGAGACTGCATGATAATGATTCCTTAACTCGGTGTGAATGGTCATTCAATTTGACTTTGTGTCCAAAAACATTTTTTTCTGAAACCACCTTTTGTGTCTTTGGAATCTAGATGCAGGTGGACAGTCATTATTAACTTCAATCAGGTGTTTTAAGTTGCTGTAGAGTCTTCATCTGATGTTAGCTATTGATAGTTGGATTAGTTTTGGATTCCTTATAGATACTAGTTTATTGCTAGATGTAGATTAATTTAGGAAAGTGAACTACATCAAACAGTAGGTGCCTATCTCAGGCAAGAATATCTTTGTTCGAGAACTATTTTCAAGTAAGTGTCGTGAATAATTGATTAGCTTCTGTTTTGTTTGTTTTAGTATTACTGTCAACGCTATTGATGAATAAAACATTTCGAAAGTCAAAAGTGTATTGGTAAAATTTTCTCACATTTCCTGTTAAAATATCCCTTGATTCATCCGAAAGTCCTAGTCCATCAAGGTCGAAGTCTCCACTGATACCAACCACCTTGTCTTTGTAATTGGGATGGATTTGAGACAACTTGTAAAATACCTAAAAAGCACACCTAATTTTTTTGCTTTGTAATGAATTAATTAAAACTCTCTCTACCCAGTTATTGAGGAAATCGTCTAATCTACTTTGAGGATCTATCCCTTTTTTTGTCCTAATAACAACGTATATTGTTCCAATGTCTTTGCAGCATCTTAGTAGCTTTTCAAGTAGAAGCTTGCCTACCAAATAAAGATTATTTAAGTTTATATATCTACGTCTAAACTACAGAGTGGCATCCTCACCTAAAAATCCAGTAGCACCAGTAATTAATACGTTTTTCCCTTTTAAAAATTCAATTATGTCACTACCATCTTCCTGAACTCTTATGTCGTGCTCTTTCAAATGCAAATGTATCGGGTAATCATAGTCATTTTCTGTATAGCTGCCATATTTGATTTTTTCGAGTTTTTTCGGTAGAGTGGTTCTTAGAACGACTGGTAGGAGATTGGGATCCATAATTTGAACTAGATAAACTGAAAAAAAAAACATGATTTAAGCGAAAATTTTAACAATAACATTTAACATTTCTATATTGTATAAATATGACGATATTCAAGTTATGTAAATTTGAGTATGTGTGCGCAAGAATCAAGAATCAAAATTACACATAATAGGTACCTATGTAACTTCTCAAATCTGTTATTGGTCGTCGTGCTAATATACCTTTAGATGGAAGTTAAGTCACCACCATGAAAAATTATAGAAACTAACTTGATTTACACTTCTCGAGAAAAAACAGCTCAAACAATGACAGATTGTCCGAGAAGAAAACATTCTTGCACTTGAAATGAGATTGCCAGTTCAGAAGAGATAGGTAAACCTACTTAATTTTTGGCAGACAAGTTGTTCAACCTTTTACATTGCTCTCGTTCTCGTTTATCGGGAAATATTAGTGCATCTGAAATCTGCACTAATTCGTGTTTTTCTAGAAGTTCTTATTCCTGAGAACATATTTTGTCATAATATAAGTTGCAAATCATATAGACACCACTGCCAAAATTTAACTTGAAATTTTATGGACTTACCTATTTATTCTTTGCACTTGAACTGTCAAAAATATTGGCAAAACCGATTTGCTTGAACGCGTTTTTTTTTTAGGATATTTAGGCACAAATTTGTTTACTCATGCAAACATACATCACGAAAGCATTACAATGAAAAACAAAAAATAGGTACCTTCACACATTTATATTTTTGATTAGGAAATAAAAAAACACTATTTGGAAATTATGTGAATAATTTCATTTAACAATACAAAAATCGAATTTATGGAAATTAGATTATTAGACTTTGTTGTTATCTCTTCTGCTAGTTTTACGGACAAAGTAGCGCGACTGTTAAGTCTAATTAGTTAACATTTCCTACATTCAGAGCTGGGCAGGGCTTGAGTGCTTTGTGCTTGCGAAAGTGCTTGAAGCACTTTGAGGGCTTGAAAGCCCTGTGCTTCAAGCCCTTTTATAGATTTGTAATTGGGGCTTGCAAAGTCAATTACTTTAGAAAAGTGCTTGGTAATTTGTAATTGAAAAAAGTAATTCAAGCCCTTTCAATGAGCTTCAATTACTTTTAGAGGGCTTGAAGCACTTTTGGGAGCTTGAAGCACTTTAAAAGGGCTTGAAGCACTTTGAAAGGAATTTGAATTGACCATCACTCAACCTATCCCCCACTTGAAAATTTTCGATCGAGTTTTGTCCCTTAATTTTTTTTTCTATTATTTGAACTTGAACCGTCTTATGTCTTTTCTCTCTTAACAATGAAGGTTTTGGGTTTCAGCTTAGAATGGAATTTAAAAAAAAAATTAATGAACTTATTATTCAAATAAATAATTAATTTATATTGGTAACCTATTTAACTTTATCACTGGATTTTTTCCACTTTTCCCCATTGAACATTTTAAAAACCTTAAAATTGAATTACCATGTAGTACCCCAGAACTACATCTCAAAAAAAAAACATACTACTGCTACTCTGTGAAATGTAAAGTTCGTCTCTACTATATCAATTCTGTGTGATGAGTGTACGCGGTAGCTTATGCCACTTTGAGAATTTTATTACAAATTCAAAGTGCTTTACACTTTGAGAATTTTATTACAAATTCAAAGTGCTTTAGGCACATTTAAAGAGCTTCAAGCACATTTAAAGAGCTTGAAGCACATTTAAAGAGCTTGAAGCCCTTTTCAAGGCACCCCAAGCACTTTTGATGTGCTTCAAGCACTTTTCAAATCACTTTGAGGGCTTTGTGCTTGTCAAGCCCAAAGCACTTTGAGGGCTTTGTGCTTGTGAAGCACTTTTGAAAATAAAAAGGAATTTGTGCTTGAAATTGAAGCACTTTGATAGAGGGCTTAGGGCTTAGTGCTTCAAGCCCTTTTACTGAGGGCTTTGCCCAGCTCTGCCTACATTTGTCTAACACAATAATATTTGAGTTAATTTTCAAAAGGACAGACGCTCTTGAAAAAATTGTTAAGAAGTTGTGAAGATATTGGAAATGTTTACATAATTGTTAGGCCCAAAAAGGGCGAACATTTACAATGATAAAGATAACTTTTTTCAGGTAATCTACAAAGTAGGTATCCAGAATAAAGCCGAATTTCCGTGATAAAGTTTGGTATCCGCGGGGATCTTGAAATTGCAGGTTTGGTTTTGTCACCTGAGTTAGCATGTCAGAAACCGAGGGTTGGTTTTCGAAAAAATGACTTTATTAATAATCCGAAATTATTACTAGCGAAAGCACGTTACAATAAATGTTACAATTATAATAAATAATTTCAACTGACTGACTATCCTAGGAAAATACATAAATTTATAGTGAACTGAAAAGCAAAATAAGCATTTTAAATGAGGACTCAGCAAATAGAGGTGATATAACTCCTCCCTTCTTAGCTTCAACTTCCACAATAGCGGAGGAGTTGAATACTCTGGTTTTCTTATGGAGCGGGGGTGGACCTCTTCTTCTTCACGATGGCTTTTTCATATTTCATGTAAACCAAGAAGATACAGGCAATAACGATGGAGACATATATTAGGATTGTCCCAAGGCTGGGTATTCTATTGATTTCAGTGAAACTCAGTTGTGGACGTCCATTACTTCTTTGCTTAATTGGTGAAGGTCGTCTAATTTCGAATATTTTAGATGTCGACTTAGATCAGACCAACCTTTTTTTAGTCACGACCCTTTTACAGATTTGCTCATAAGGTCGCGACCCCCCTACCCATTGATAAATAAAAAACAAAATTTCATTTATTCGAGAAATCTTGAACAAAAATATTAATATTTTGTAACTAAATACAAAAAGTGAATTTTTATTTTGTTAATGTGCATCTCCGTAACAAGTTTCGAAATTCTTGGTTGAGTTTTTGTTAAAGCCAATCCTATGTCATCTTGAACACCCAGTCTATTTCTGGCCTTTGTTCCAATTTGCAAAAGGGTTGAAAACCCCACTTTCACGAAGGTAGGTCGAGGCAAATGGTATAAGTATCCGAAAAGAAAGCTCAAGCAGGTCGACATAAGGATATGAACTATACATGCCACATGGCACATCAAAATTAAGTCAAGAATTTCTGCTGAAATAGGGCAGGTGTTGTGGAATCATTTTTCAGCTCTAAAAATGTATCCTGCACTTCATCAGGAACGTCGAAAACATCTAGCGAGGCTTGAAACGGGTTCCTTACTACTGCAACGTCGCGCGGCTTTTGAGGCGGAGGTTAAGGCGTGTTACCAAATGCAGAAAAATATACTGGTGGTCCATTTAACTTGAGATAGTCTATCTAGAAAACGACGCATTTTTGAAAAAAAAAAAAAATGTTCAAATAGAAGCTATATGGTGTCACGGGGAAAAGAAAATGATAGCGATGATTTTTGATTCTTTCAACTTTTATTTTAACTTTTTTTGATTAACCTATTTTCTTTGATAACTATTTTGGAAACGGTGGCCACTTGGCAACCAATTGGTATTGAAGCATAAATTTTCCAATGATGTTTTGTACCTCTTTTTATTGGAAGCACTTGAGTTGGATGGCTTCTTTGACATAGGAACAACCAATATCCATTGATTGGAATCGTCCAATCGATTGATAATAATTTGCGGGACTTCAACTTCGGTTTGTTCGCAGGTGGATGTATTTTTGTCAGAGTGGAGTAGTTCAATTTCGCATGGGCTTTCTTCTTGGATTTCGTGAATATCTTCTTTTCCACAAATATGGAACTTCCGAATGATTTCTTGACATTCTTGGCCATAGTATTCGTAGTGCAATTTATTTTTCAGCAAAAATTTATTTCGCGGTAAGACAACCCTAAACTGACTCTGAGAAAGGATTGGAACCGAGTATAAATGAGAGTAATCAAAAATTTCCGAATATATTATTGCAAAAGATTCCAGTTCGATTATATCTTCAAAAAGGGGAGTATTTTCCAAAGTGACCGCTAGGGGATTTGTTTAGAACTTAAACGCTGTTGTAGTTTGTTTAATTCATGATAAAGGTCTTCAGTTTTTATTATACTTGGATGCATAATTTTCACTTTTGAAAAAGTTAAGAAATTTTCTATATCATGTTAAATAGAGTCATAGATATTGACTATTTGATTTATCATGTCTTTGATGTAGAGGGAATTTTCTCTATATGCTGCCTTCTGTACCATGTGTGCAGTTTGGCTAATTTTTGATTCTAGAAGTTTTTCGTTGTGATTTATTAGTTTAATAGTTTGGTTAAATTTTTCGATTACCTACTGTTCGAGAAACCAAGTTTGTTTCAGAACATTTTCTTGTAAACTATTGTAATTTCCTAATGTGTGCTCGTAACGTTCTCCGTCAGATGCGTCTAGGTTTCCAGTTACAGATTTGAATATTGAGCCCAAGCCGTCAATTAATCCTCTTTTGATTCTTTGTGGCTGAAGAATAATGTCTGATATTTTTGTATCAATTCTATTCTGTGTTATTTTTAACAAATTTATGTAATTGCTAATGTCTTCAGGATAGTCTTGATGTCTATTAAGAATGTTTGTAATATTATTAGATTTTATGTGAAGTTTATTTATTTCACGTATTATTGGGTTCAAGTCATAATAATGTATCAGGGTGTAAGTGTAATCTTCGATTTTCACGTACCCTAATTTGACTGGAATTATGCCGGGATTTTCATCCAATTTTCTGATGATTATTTTGTTCTTGAGTTCCAAGCGCGCAGGCAAAAAAGGTGAAATATAATACTAGTGTTATAAAGCTAATAGGCAAGTGTACGATACAAAATGCATTTAAAATAGTTAATTAGAGTAATTGTAATATAATATTTTATTCTTAAAACTAGGTGTCAAAACTATATTTATTTCTCAGGGGACGTTTAATGTTACCCATGTGTATTTTTCCGTGTGAGGTCGTTGTTGTCGTGAAAGGTCGTTGCTATTGTTTAGCGTACTGGGTCAACGGTTTCAACTTGTGTCTGAGGTGTAAACTTGTCGGCTAGTTTAGTGCTTTAATTATAAGA